TACATGTACATACTGAAAAGCCAGATTTTATTTATGTGCTGAGAATGTTTCTCTGTGTAACACATCTGCGCCTCTCCAAGTACTTTGGCCCACAGTCTGCACACACTTAGGCACGCACTTAACTTCGCCCATCAGAGAAGTCCCTCTGCTGCCAGGGAGACTCCTTACATATAAAGTTAAGGACATATAGAAGTGCTTTCAATATCAGGGCCTAAAACTTTCAACCCCTGGTTAATAGTCTTAATATTCACTTTAGTTAAAGCATCACTGATGTAATAAAGGCATTTTTTCATAACATTTATCATTTTACTTTAAATAGTAAATAGAATTTTATGACTGTATAATCTGATACTCCATCAAATAAATGTACAAAACCATGGAAGCAGAATCATTTAAAAGTATAGGTTATATAGAACCATATCCTGGTCTTGAACCCCTTGAAAATCATTTGTTCCTAGATTTTTAATGGCAAACACATCATCAAAACCAGCTGTTAACCACTGACAAAAAGGAATTTTGTTCTATTTTGTTTTATGTTCTAAGGGTTAGATCTTGTTCCAGAAACACTGTTTATCAAAATAATTCTGTACAAATATTTGGAGGATGTTTTGTCAAATACAAAGCATGTTATGCTGCTTAAAGTGTTTTCATGTGAATGCTTTATTGTAATGAAAATCTTGAGCCTTATGTTGATATGTTTAAGCAGTTGTACTGACCAAAGTCATTTTGGAGATCACAATTAAATGGAAATGTTCTGCTTGATCTCAGATGTTTATACAAGTCTGCCATTCAGTGCCAACTCCTCCCCTTAACAAGCTTCCCATCTTGGAACGCTTTGCGCTGAGCTACTCTCAAAACATACTTTGTCCTCTAAGTTTCCAAAACACCACAGCATGATCACCTTCAGCAAGAGGCAGTCGTCTTCAAAAATGTCCCCAAGAGCACCAACACAGAGCCATGAAAATTATGCAGACAAACAAACAGAAATCAAAGACATTTTCCTTTAATAGGGGAGCAGTTGAGCTTATTTGCCTTGATACATGTAGAAAGTGAAGTTAAATCTCTACACAAATATTTGCAGCAGAACCCACTGTTCCACCAGTTAAGCTGGAGAACAGTATTACTCAAGTTCCTGCTGCAGCTACAGATAAAGATCTGCCTGAATTCTTTGCAGTTAAACCACTTAACTATGGTCTGTTGCTTACTAGTGACCAACAAATAGAATACACTCATCGTACTTCCCAAGGCAGGAAATAGTACCTGGCAGAGCAGGAAGGTGGGACTGCCACCTGCAGATACACCACCTACACCAATACTGGTCCACACCTTTGCAGCTGGCCCAAAGCAACACACCAATGTTATTGGTACTGTATGCAATGACAGAATTCAATATCAACAGAGTATAGTAAGTATTTAAATAAGCAAGGGCTTATTATTATTTTAATTGGTATTTTATTATTATTTCTCATCATCACTGATGAGAAATACATGCATGTGGTCTGGAACAGCTTTAAGCAAGAACAGACCATCTTCAGTAGCTGACCTTCTAGCTTCCCTTAGCAAACACGTACGGTAAGCCTGAGGTGTTCTTTCTGCCCACAGCATTACTGGTCTGTCAGTAGTGGACTGGACTCGCAGCACATATCATTGACACTAACTCCCTCAGTAATGAACTCAAGGATTCCCAACCAGCCCACAGATTACAAAGTCTCCTCAGCAATACTGGAATTGCCTGCCACAACTCAATGGCAGTGCACGGACAAAATCTGAGCACCTCTACTGCCAAGTTGCAAACACAGATGGGTGTTCAGAAGTAGCCTGGCTAAAAGGACCAGCCAAGTGTGCCTTTTTTTAGGGTGACTGATTTTTATGTCTCCCTCACCTGCCCAACAGTCCCGCTCAGCTTTGGCACCCTCATCCATGCTGACCACAACACATCACTGAATTCTCTTCCTCAGCCTCCCTGAGCATAACAAGTCTCATAAAATAGAGTAAAAATCTGTAGAGATTAATTTGCCACATGAATGCTAAAAGGTTATTTTCCTGCTAGGTGAGTACTTTCCGTATGTTCAAAAGGGCTTCCCTTCTCACACATTAGAGCTCCCTTCCGCTCCCTAGAGATCCATATACCCCCGAAACAGCCTGTCTTCCACATCTGCATCCACCTTCCCCAGTCCTCTGTGTTCACAGAAAGTGGACCAATTTGCCATTCAAAAATTTCTCTTACCAAAATTGCATCTCCCCGAGTCCATCCTGCTAGTCCTGTGACTGGCAATCCATCAGTCCGTCCTGCCCACACGTCCCAGACCACCGCTTCACAGAACCCCTTCCACCCAGAGGTACTGCTAGACCTCCCACCTCCCTACCATGGCCTGAACCCCAGCCCCCACTCCATTTAAGCCCCTGTCCTGTGGCACAGTTGTTTCTGTGAAAATTTGTAGATCAATTTGAATCTCTCGTCAATACAATTGGGCCCAGGTTTAGGGTGTAGGATATACTGACAGAGGGCTTGGACTATAAGGGTGGGCTGTAGGGTCCTGTTTTAAATCAAGCTTATACATCTTTGCTGTCTGCAACACTGGTGCTGCTTAACCCAAATTGGTAGTATAGGCGCAATGCCAAAGCACTAACAAAATCAGTGTAATCCACTATCTTCAAATGGCATCACCCTAGCCAAGAAGCTTTCTACAAAGTTTTTAGTTCTGCTCCCAGACACAGCTGCAAATCTATTGTACTTAAGGCAGACTGACTATTACAGCTACTAAATACCACTAGACCTTTCCACTCCTAGGCCTTGTTCTAGACCTGCCAGCTTTACCGGTTCTGGAAACCAAGTGGAGTCTTAATCACCTGCTTTCTGAACCCAAATAGGCAACTCATGCCCCACCTCTAATCTTTCCCTGTGGTCATTTACCCTCTATAACCCTTAGAGCTCCTGAGTTGTGGCTCTTAGAAAATCAGCCCTCAAAACCAGGCCAGCACATCTGGCAGGATCCAGCAATCATCCATGCTCACAAGCTCCTCCTGATTCTAAACTAGCTCTCTCTGGAGATAGCACAGGCCAAGGACTCCACTCCATCTGAGAACACGATATTAACGTGATACCGACCTACAATAAACACATGCTGTCTGCAACCTGCCAATAAACCAAGCCCACATGCTTCTGCTTTCCTGTGCCCCAGTCCTAACTATGCTTACTATAGTTTGATAGCTATTATATGACCTCAAAATAAATTAAGAAATCACCTGCCCTCAACACTAGTTTTTACATCCTTCCCCTTGGTTTTAGGATCTGGGTGGGACTTACCTTGTATGGCCAAGTAAGTTCCCAATGCTACCTCTAATCTTGATTCCCACACCAACAGATATTCAGACAACTTTCAGGAACAAGAGTAGAGGAAACTGTTACACTTGCCTTTTTCCCCTCCATAACTACTTTTAAAATCCAATCTCTTATGGTGTTATAAAATTAGAGTCACTGTTGTGTTATCTGACCAATAGTTTTTTTATCCTCTAGTATTGTCAGAAAGGATTTATTCTCTCTCATTATAATCCATGTTTAAGTTTTTTAAAGACACTTATCTCCACGAGTGGAATTCATCTGCCCTGTTTCAGCACTTGAAGTTAACTGCCCATCAGTCACCTTCAGCTTCCTTTGCAGTCAATGGAATAATTAGGCACCTTGGGAGGTTGATTCAACTCATTCTAAGATACTTATCTAACACAAGGCATATGAATGGCCCTCTGAGGCTCTGTATTTCTTTCCAATGGATATAAAGGCATTCAAAGGGAAAAAATTATATTTAAATATTTAATTGTAGATTTCAAATTAAGCAAAATTAATCCACTTAACCTACTGTTAATGTTGAGATTTCCTCTTTAATAATGTTGCAACACTTTGGTGTTTTATTATACGATTCATATGGAAAGCAAACACATGGAAGCTACTGCCACTAATGATGATGAAGAACAGCAAAAATAAATTCCTGATGGTAAAGTGGGAGTGTGCTTCACAGATATCCCATTTTTTATAACAAAGGCTTTCTCCTTTGGCTCCCTCTCATTTGGATACCCCTGAGAGGTTTAAAAGCACTGAGCACTACCTTTTATTAAGCGTTTTTCCTGAGATGTCTTTTTTTTTTTTTTTTTTTTTACTATAACACATTAGCATTTCAGCAGAGACAGAAGAAGCCAACTGATTTAAATGAGTAACATTCTAAAATGGTCAATGGTAACCCTTATTCTTGTTATAAGCAAAAGAATGAACAGGCATCACTAAGCAGCAGAGGAGTCAGTATTTTATTCAAACAGATTCAGAAAATCCCATACATGCAAAACACAGCATGCTGTACAAAAAACAATGTTGAAATCATCAATTTTTTAACTTTTTCCAAGTTTGAGAGTAACATTGTCACAAGAACTTATCTGCTCTACAGTGATCTACAAAACACTACAGTCTGGACAATACCTAGAATTCAGAACCTAATCTAATCAGAATAGTACAGGGGATGGAAACAACCACCCCTCAAACCCGGCACGGCCGTTCTGCCTGATGGTGTAGATGCACACCCCTCCATTAGATTGGCCCAGCAGTGCTGAAGTCAATAGGAATTTTGTGAATCATTTCAGTGGAAACAGATTCTATGATAACATGGACCTGTGAAAGGACAGAGGCAGTCCTTCCTGTATGAGTAAATACATAACACTGACGCAAGTATAAAGCACAAAGAAAGAAAAGATGTGCTGGATTATAGCCACCTCCTTCAAAACAAAAACATATCTTACAGCTTCTCATGTATTTTCTTTTCTAGCCAGAGAATGTTTCTGAAGAAATCTGTCCAAATGCTTCTCATACTAACTCTTCCTATGGTTGAATAGATTGTATTAATTGTTAGGAAAAATAAGATTAAGAAATTCTTCAACTGGGACAATTTAAACCATCTATCAAACCATATCTTAATCAAATACCTATTCAGTAAGCATTTAAGTGAATGAACAAATAAAAATGTAGCATGGTGATGTTTTAAATTGCTTAGTATATTTTAGTTGCTGTAATTATTTTGAATAGTCAGGAGATGTTAAAAAGTGTAAAATTTTTTGTGCGTACAGGTGCAAGAACCGATCCAAAAATTCACATATATACAGAAATATATTCAGGAAGAACCTTGCAAAAAGTAACGAAAATTTAGTAAGTACAACATGGCAATTAAGTTTTTGAAAGGGATAATTTCTGCAAAGACTGTAAGTGTCCTCTTAAATAAAGATATTCAACTGAAAGCATGATCCGAGATAAATAATTTTTCTACAATACACTTTCTACTGGAAAAATCACTATGCTTCTCAGGCAACATTACTTCCTTTTAAAATGTGTTATTCTGAAAATAGAAAGCAGATATGAAAAATGCAAAGATGACTTATTTCAAAAGGTTTCACTTGTCTACAAAACTATTATTCAAATGTTTTTATCATGCAAAATACTATCAAAATCAAGTAGAAATGATGTGTTCCCAATCCTGAATTCTCCAGGAATTCCTCAGTTGACCTTTTTTTCCATTCCTCTTAGGAGGTGACCATCTCTACCATTCTTCAAGACAATGAAAAAGAGCAGTCTCAGCACAGAGCAAATCAAAGAAACAGCCTGATTTTGTTTCTCTGAACTGCCTGTGTGAAAACCAACGGCCACCTTCCCCTAAAGAAAGATGAACATTAAACAAATCTCCTACATTATGCCTCTAAGTTGATACAGTGTGAATACCCACCACAGCATCCAAAATCCAAAGAGGATAAAAAGGGAGACTCAGGCAATGCTGTCCTGAAAAACTGGTTCACTGAGAACATACTTTAAATGGCAGGTCACAAGAAATCGGGAAAACAAATTGACTCCCTTTATCAGATTAGCCTCACTATGAAAGAAAGGGCTAAACATAATACACTTCAGACATACCTATTTTAAATCCCACCATTTCACTTTTGGTGATGAGTGTAGCACAGCACTCAAGATAAGGAAAGGCTAGTTTCAGTCTCAGCTGAATGTTCTTTCTTCTAGTGAAACATTTAGTAATAACTAAGCATTCAGGGACTTTTTTTGTATAGCATTTCCTTTCATCTAATCAGAAAGCATTTAACTCATTCACCTATGAAAGCAACATAAAGGTTTCTACTGATATCATCTGACTACAAATCAGATGCCAGATCTATCTTACAGACACAGAAGCAAAATAATAATCCATCTCTTCTTCATAGGAAACTTCCTCATAAAAAACGTATTCTTAATGAAACTAAAGACTTCTGATAACAGAGAACAGTTCAGACTTTAAACGGAAGAAAAATAATGTTAATGCATACAGGTTGGAATAGATTTTAAAAAAATACCTTTTTTTGCAGTTTAAATAAAAGCTTATTACTGGGAAAATGTAGACATTAACTTGTAAAATTATGAAAAACAAAGATTAAATGTAGTTAAGCATTTTAATATTACATTTGTTCGTAAGATTTTTAGAATCCAGTCTTGGCTTTCTTCTCCAAACATATGGAAGGAACAACTCCGGTCATTGCTTTTTCAATTTACAAAAGAAAAATAACTTCTATTCTTTAACTTTTGTAGGCTCTCCCACTGCTTGAAAAACAAAACCAAAGCAAGCCCAATACAATAAATAACATAACTTCTTAAACCAGTATGGTAACCCATAAGGCTGCCCTATCGGGCTCTGATGAAAAGGGTTTCATCAGGAGCTGTAGGACAATTCTCCCTCTCAGTAACAGTCTCTACTGTGCCTGAAGCAGACACAATCACTACCGTTTTAGCTGCTGAAAGAGCTTTCTCCTTCTCTGCAATAGCAGCACAGACTGCCACAATTTCATCACTTTCAAAGTCATAGTCTGGAATTGATTCTTGTGAAAGCTCTTTTTCTTTTGCCAGTGCCTGCACTGCCTCAGTCTTTGTTGCCTTCTGCTGTTCATGTAGTTTTCTTGCCCAGGAAAGGTCCTCTTTCCATACTTCAGGGTTCATTGGAAAGATGTGTAAGGATACCTGGAAACTTCGGATTGCCTATAAGCAGAATAGACAAGAAACAAGGATTGGACACTTTAAAGCCTACATATCACAGAAATTAAAAACAACCAAAAAAATTATGTGTATCACTCAACCAAAGACAAAAGTGATTTTGCTTCAGTCTGTCTTCAGTGGAACAATCCTCCCTCAGCTGTAAGTTCAATAGCAGCATTACCCCCAAACAACTGTGCGTACAAGTGTGCCTGAAAGTACCAAGAATGCCTGAACAAATCAGGTACCTGGTAACAAGGGCACAAATAAGAGCTTTCATGTCAAAAATAATATTGTAATTAAAAAGATAAAAGCAAAAATAATTTTTGTTTTGATGGTTTTCTCTCCCACTTGTCTTCTATCATCAGATGCATGGGAATGCAAAAGCAGAGAGATATGGTTTAAAGAAATACAGAAAAAGGATGACTGGGATTTAAAATATCACTAATATTGCTGCTTTTAAATTAGCATGTAGTCATTTCACATACAGACCTAATACTACTGTAATCCTAGCCCTGTGATAAGCAGTTTCTGTAACAGGTTTGTCGTTGCAAACACACTTACCTGAACAGTCAAAAGTGGACAAATAAACTCCCAACTTGGAGCATTGCTCTAAGAAAGAACTCCTACAATCTTATAAACCATGTAATATTAATACATCTAAGTATAGTTGATACTGTTTCTCCTATCTTTCAGCTCAATTGGGAGAAGTCTCACAAATACAAATACTCAACACATAAGTTAAATATAAAAAACCTGTGACCATCTAATCCAGTAGATGTGATATTCAGCAATGAGAAGAGATTTCTACAGTACTGGAAAAATGCTAGACCAAGAATTACAACTGTATTGTATTTATCATTATATTAACAGTGAAAAGGTCAAGACTGACCTTACACACTCAGACTTATGTATATGTACACACAGGCATGTGTCCACATTTATTACTGTGTGGTCAGTTACGGAAATGGCCACTTGAGTGATTAAACTCTTGTGTGACGATGTACAGAAGCCTTCTTCAGGGTGGGAAAACAGTGATGATAGGGATTTGGATTATATTTGGAAAGAGTTCTAGCAACTCACATATAAAGATTTTAAAGATGTATGAACAACCATCAAATTCCATATTCTGTTGTAATTTATAAATACTTAAAGCATGCAAATTAATTTGAAAAATCAAAACCTTTCATTTGCATTGACTGAAACTGCCAATTCATCCTTCTGCTGGCACAGATTACCATACAAACTCTGCATGACGTGAATTCAGCAGACAAGAGATACAAATCAGATTTAAAAAACACTGATTATGCTATCAGTATTACTGCTGTTGTAATAGGCAGCCTTATAGTTCCAGGAAGAAAAAAAAAAAGCAATATTTTATTATTGGTCCATAGCCAGCTCTGAAGTGTAGGAGCATGCTGAACTTTAAACAGAGGGAGGAGTGCAGTTTAATTCTTGCAAAACGGTGTCATTTTATTCAACTTTGCTAGCTTTTAATTTCCAGGGATAGATGAGCTACAAGTAAACACTAAATGCTCTTTTTTGTACTTCTTTTGAAAACAAAATATAAACAAACCTCATCTGCTTTGAAGCTTTCCATGAAAAAGGCCCCCTAATTAAAACCTGTCTATATAGTTATGTTCATGCACAATAAACAACCTTAAACACAGTAATCAAATATAAGGTAACATTTGGTAAGCTTAGAAGCTGCATTGATGATTCATGCAACACAGCATAAACCGATCATCTTTGTAAATCTATTAGAAAAATATTTTGTGTGACATTTTTATAAATAAGTAATAAAATTTTAAGTGCTGCAAAAGATCAGAGGAATTAATTTTAAAGCAATGTAATACTGAAAAATACAGAACTGTCATCCACATAAAATTTCATGTTGCCACTGTAACTGCTTCCACAGCCATTAACTTCTATTGAGACAGAAGGAAAGAAAATAACAGTGCCACTTTTAATTCTCACTCTGATGGAAATGTAAATCTCCTCCAACTGCCTGTCTGGCATTACAGGAAAACGTGGTGGCACTAGGTAAACCTGGTATTTCTAGCCTTATTTTAAAGGGCAGCTGTGATCTCAGAGACCCTGCATGTAAGGACTATGGGATTTTAAATCAGTATGTAGTCACATATCTGCTTTTGCTTCTGTAGGGAAGAGTACTATGAAATCTACTGCAAGATGTTCTCACTTGCTGATTTACAATATTTGAAGAACTTGTATTTTTGAAATATTTTACGTTTCGTCTCACGATAGGGTATTCTGTAGAAAACAATCTTTCATTTGTACCATAAGCATAATCTCTTCTGCTGGCTTGCAGAGTCTTTAAATGTGAAGGGCTGTTTTGATCAGAGTACACTTTTTATAACATGTTTTTGTAACACATGGATCTAGTAATTATCACTATACAGTGACCCCTAAAACAGGTAAGGGAGCATTTTAAGAGGTTATGCAGTTCACATCTGCCCCCAAGGTTTTTATTAGAGCTTTATGCTACATCTGACAGACACTATCTAACCTATTTCAAAGGATGTCCATCAGTGAAGATACACATACATCTATAAGTAATCTTTTTCTGTGTTTAATGACCCTTAAATATGGATTTTATTACTATTATTATTATTATTATTTTTATAGCATCCAACATTATATTTGGGGGTACTGGTGGATGAAAAGCCTGACATGAGCTGGCAATGTGCGCTCGCAGCCCAGAAAGCCAACCGTATCCTGGGCTGCTTCAAAAGAAGCTTGACCAGCAGGTCCAGGGAGGTGATTCTGCCCCTCTGCTCCACTCTGGTGAGACCCCACCTGCAGTACTGCGTTCAGCTCTGGGATCCCCAACACAAGGAGGACATGGACCTGTTGGAGCGAGTCCAGAGGGGGGCCATGAAGATGATCAGAGGGCTGGAACACCTCTCCTATGAGGACAGGCTGAGAGAGTTGGGGTTGTTCAGCCTGGAGAAGAGAAGGCTCTGGGGAGACCTTATTGTGGCCTTTCAGTACTTGCAGTGGGCTTATAAGAAAGACAGGGACAAACTTTTGAGTAGAGCCTGCAGCGATAGAACAAGGGGTAATGCTTTTAAACTAAAAGAGGGTAGATTCAGACTAGATAGAAGGAAGAAATTTTTTCCTTTCTGAGAGGTGGTAGATACCCCATCCCAGGAAACATTCAAGGTCAGGTTGGACGGGGCTCTGACCAACCTGGTCTAGTTGAAGATGTCCCTGCTCATTGCAGGGGTGGATGGACAAGATGACCTTTAAAGGTCCCTTCCAACCCAAACCATTCTATGACAATATTTTATTGGAAATTAAATCTTATTTCTCGTACTACTCACCATGATCATAAATAACTAATCTTTATAGAAACCTTTAGCATAGAGATGCTCATGAAATTTTAGTATATTTAAAGACTCCTCATTACATTTATTTAAACAAACAAACAAAAAACCCCAAAACAAACCCACAAACAATACTTTCAGATACTTTCACTCTAGTTCAATAGTTTATATGATATAATATGAATGGTAAACGTCTTCTCTATTTTAACTTTAAACTGCCAGGCTAAATTTTTCTATGTAACTTTTCAGTTGGGATTATTTCTTCTTTTCAATAAAAATTTTCTCTGGTAATTTCTTTTCAGCAAAAATAATTCTGTCTTCAAAAAAATGAGGTGAACGCTTAATATTTTCAGTTCTTATGTTTACAAAACCATTTTATTCAAAGTTTCTGGTGCTCTCATGTTTTGGAGAAAAGACTTGAAATATAGGAGGCAATTTTCCAGATGTGAAAGACTATTTTTGCCTCACATCTATTGGAATTTGGTCAAGTTATAAACCCGTAAAAGTCTTTGTTCCCATTTGGTAGACATCTGTGAGACTATACTAGCTTAATTCTCCTGTGCTGGAGGTTCTCCACTGCAGAGAATTTATGCAGCGCAGATGAAGATGCATCACTCCCAGGGGTGACTCAGCACACGTCCTCCCTGGGGCGCAGTGGCCAATATGTGCCTGAGCCTGGAGGTATGAGAACAGGAATGTAATGGCCTGTGGCAACTGACAGAAAAAGATCTCCTCAGTTTTTTCGGCCCCTGGCATGCATCTCTGTACAGACCAGAGTTTCAGAAAATTTCCCATCAGCCACTGTGTGAATTTTTAAAATTGCATTGCCTCTTTTCCTTTTCATTTATGCACATAGGAAGAATAAGTATCAACTATACTAATATAATGATAAAGTTAAATATTCCATCACTATAAAATAATTCACGCATTTTGTTGTGCTTAGAAGGAAGATTGCCACAGCAGTGTAATTAAATATTTTAATCTCATATACATCTATAAAAATAAAATCTGAGTTATTTATCCCCTCAAGTTGACAGGAACACAATCTGAAGCACAGACTTGATTGCCTTTCAACAGAAAGCCAACCATCAGTTTCCTTTGGATTACCAAAATCTTTGTTTCTACACACTTATTTTAGTAACATTTTGAAAAACTCTCAAATTCAGAATGCTATGGTAATTAGCTGGATTCCAATAAAATGCAGTAATTCCTCTCTTTACTAGTACATAATTCCCCTCCTTACATAAAAGACCTAAAACTATTTCTTTCAAGAGAACCAAAAGAAAAGGGCTGATCTGAGGATTCATATTGTCAAGGCTTGATTCCTTTTACAAAACGTAGCATCACACTTAAAAGACTGCTAAGCCACGTCCTTCAAAACTTCAAACAAAAAGCATGCACCGTTGGTTCATATTTACACATCTGCCCAGTTAACTTTGCAATCTCCGGTACTTCAGATTCGACACAGAGGCCCCAGCCCACAACAGGGTAAGCTTAAATCACAGAATGGTTGAGGTTGGCTGGGACCTTCACAGGTCATCTGGGCCACCACCCTGCTCAAGCAGGGCCACCCAGAGCTGGTTGCCCATGACCACATCCAGACGCCTTATGAACCTCTCCAAGGTGGGAGACTCAAGTCACTTTCAGTTGGTCTTTTTTTTTTTTTTTTTTTAAATGCTGCTTTTGTTTTGTTTTGGGTTTTTTTTGTTTTCTTGTTTAATGAAAGTGTGGGGCTTACTCTGGCTCATGGGAAGAATTGTTCTAATGAAGGTATCAGCGTGAAATTGTTACTGCTTAAGCTGTCATCACCAATACAGTAAATATAATTTGTAAAAAAAAAAAACCATTTACAATTAAATGAGAGAAATATTGCTAGCCTGACTGCATTTCTACAGTGTTTACACTCACATTGCAAAGTTTACTTGGGTGTGCTCTTGCAAGTTGATTTGTAGAATTTACAGAATTCTATACAGAAATAAAGTTCTGCCTGCTCACATTTAAGTATTACTGCTGAATTACGCTATTTAGTAAATTCAGAAAAAAGAGCAAACAGCTTTTGTAAAAGCTAAATAAAAAGGGGCTAATTTATCTCTTTCTGTCACAAGTTTGACAAAAGCAAACCAAAACAAATCTTTCTTTGTTTGGAAGAAATGAGTGTATTATGCAGCTTGTAATATAAATCAGGTTTGTTTGGAAGCTGTATTTTAGACCTGGGAAACTTGAAATTAAAATACAGTAATTGTTTTTTCCCAAGGAAAAGTGCATCATTCATTATGAAGTAATAAAAATATTTACAACAGATCATTTGACAGGATGTGGGTAGTGAAGACAGACATTGGTGGGGGACAAATGAAACAAAGAAACAGAAGCTACTCTTGAGAAGGGTAGTAATTCCCAAATCTCAAACATTACTAAAAAGCCATGACATTTATGCTTTATAAATTTTTCTTTGTAAAAAGTATAATGCAGTAAAAAATCAGAAAATCGTGGTAATGAAAGGCTAATGGGAAAAAGATAATTAAAACTTAGATCACCTGGTCAAGAAGCCTCCACAGATCCAGTAATTCTGAAATCATTTAACCTTTTAAGACTCCTCCAGTCTTAACCTTTTAAGATTCCTTAAAAAATGCTTGGTGAAAAAATTAATTATGAACATTACCCGCATTTTAGAGTAACTCCCCAAGTTCTTCTCTGTATGTGAGAACACATTCATCAGAAGACAGTGCAATACAGAAAGGCAAAAAAGTAAAAACACCGAGTTCTAAAGCACTGGATACACCAGCAGGAGCTTACCCACCCCTGGGCTCCCTTCTCGGAGACAGACAAAAACATTAAGAGGGCAAACTACCTGGTGGTAACTCCTCCTCCCTCTCTCTTCACAGACAGTAAGGTCAATATAAACAATTACAGGAGCACCTATAGTAGTGTTTTGTTTCAGATGAATAATGTGCTTTGATGCAAATCCCTAATTGTTCTGACTTAAAATGCTTTGGTTTGTATCATGGAATAGTCTCAGGCTACATAAACTAGATTCCTTTCTGATAAAGCTCAACAATGCATTCCAAGAGAACACCTGAAGTGCTACTCTGAAGTAAAATGAATATAATGTGAACACTGGGTGCCCAGAACTATTAACTGAAGATATCCATTCCTATTGGTGTGATGTGACTTGCCAATGTAGACAAAGCTTGTAGGATCTGGTGAGCAGACCTGGTGGTGTAACTAGTATGGGAATACCAATATCTATAATTCACATTACAGTAACTGTAGCAGTTTTTATACAATAAGCAGCATCAGTTACCTAGGATCCTTGCAGGAAATAAAACTTTGAATTTCCTGAGACTAATACATTAAAAAAATCTCAGACATAATTTACAGCGACAAATTCAGACACTTAAAAGGAAAAAAAAAAAAAGATTTATAGATAGTAGATCCAGACAGGACAGACCATCTACACCACAAAAGCCATGGAATGTCACCAGTTATGTGATGCAGATATGCATGGATTTATATAAAATATTTCATATTATGATACTGCAACAACAGAAGGTAGCACACAACACACCTGCAACACACAGCTTTTCTTATGTTATTCTCATCATTTGGTTTTGGTTTTTTTTTTTTTTGGTTGGTTGGTTTTTTTAAATACTGGTCCCTACTACTTTTTAAAAAAAAAACCTGATTTTGCATGATCTCTTAGTGTCCCTCAAAAAAATCTTAATTATTTTTTTATTCTTGAAATTTTTCAACCCAAACATTGTAACTTTGCAAAAACACTCTAACATGAAAATTATTTGTATCAAACCAGCACACAGCTACTTCTATTAGAAATAAAATAAAACCATTATCTTTTTTTATCTGAGAGCTCACAATGAATTATTTTTCTAGTGGTCTTTTGTGAACATGTCTGAATTAAAAAGTTCACTCACTATGTTTCTGCACTAACCAGCAGAAAACTATTACACAATATTTGTTACATTATTAACAGGTGCCTAGTCTGTAGGTGGAGGGTGACCTGACATGGAGCAAGAGTCTCCCTTTGTATTACATCATATAGCCAAGACAGCACGATGGCATACAGTAGCAGCTAGAGAAAAGATGCACTTCAGCTACTGCAGAGCATTCCAGCCTTTTTGCTATCTTATGAAGAAAAGAAGCAACTTCAGCCACCAGCTGGGGTCAAGGAGCCAGAGGAAAGCATGAATGAGTATACAGGATTTGCTGCACCTGAAGCAGGGGAGTAGGAGAGAGGGAAAACAAGATACTAGAATTTTATTAGCAGGCATGTATAAAACTAAGCCAGAATATCAACTGGGACTTCACATTACCTTCACCTTTAAACTATGGTGATCTGTGCTGTAGCAGTGCAGTACCCAGAATGCAGTATGTGCAGTTATGTCAACATAATTATTCTATTGCATAAAGCCACCACGTAAATATAGTATATAACACAAAAGGCTTTGAGCTAGGCAGGTCTTCCACAAGCCCAGCAACAAAACCACACAGGGAAACATTTGTGAAAAACAACGAAGTAGAGGGAATACTGGAGATAAATAACAACCACCTTTTTCCTTGCCTACTTTCAGGTTACATAAAGATACTCAGCTACCTTGCTATTTCTGTACTTTCATTCTCTCAGACATAATTCAGAGGATGTGGTTTACAAGTTCAGCGTATTAATGTTGTTTGTTTTCCTACCAGTGCTATCTCTCCTAATCCAAGCTGGGCACGTCCCAAAGTCTGCCAGGCATCCCAGGAACGTGGGTTTCTCTGGACAGCCATTTCTGCTGCATGCACTGCTGGGAACATTTCATGTAAAGACATCAGGACCTATGACAGAAAAAGAAAAATAAGGGAAATAAGAATAAGCAAAATTGAAAACAGATTTAAGTTTTCTAGGATTACCCAGGCAACAACCATTGTTTGAATAACTAAGGACAGGTTCCTCTTACCTAGCTTTTTCTAGTTTAAAAGTTAGTTGTCTAATCTCAGATAGTCATCCAGACTCATTCCATAGCCCATGGAGAGAAACAGGCATGCTAGAGAATGATTCATCTGAATTATTTAAGCAACAGAAGTAAATTAAATGCTTCTGAAGGTGTCCCTCCCTCTCCCTTCCTCCCTACAAACCCTACACTCTTTAAAAGCATAACAGAATACACCGAAGGACAAACACATTCAGAATTCAACACAATAAATAAGCAAGTATTGTTGAAAAACTCCTGAGTTGTACTTTTTCTTTTTAATATCAGACTGGAATCTACCAAATACAGTTGCAGTGCACATGATATAATTATAGAAACAATCCCTGTAACTGAGCATGGAAACAGCTCTTAACAATGACTGCTGTATTTGGAGAGTAAGCATTCTGCAATAGCAAAGCCTAACTTAGACATGAAGTCACCTACAATGAAAAAAAAAAAAAAGTGGTTTCTGAATGTGGAAATCTCTTTTACTCAGCAGTACAGGTTAGTGTCAGCCTGTTACCATAGTATTCTACTCCTTGCATCAAATCTCCATAACTAAGCCTATAAATCATAGTTAACAATACATAACATGGCTCAAAGCTTGCCTTATTTTTCCAAGACCACCATGAGATTGGCACATTACCTGAAGACCTGCATCACTCTGAGATCATTATTTAGACACCCACATGCTATGGTGATAGATACCAGTATAAGAAACAAATGACAACCGCATTCCTACAGTATGATGAGAATGTCAACCACAAGAGTAAGACTCATGTGTGGGCAACCACTTTCATCCCAACTAACCCGCAAGTATGATGAATAATATTAGAACATATTAGGACTATTACTGAAGTTCAAAAAGCATTTACTTAAGCTTACTGTTCTATGGTATAGTAAATAGACAAATATGAGTGTGGAGTAGAGGAGGATTCAAATGCAGTATTCTTGAGTATTTAATTAATATAAAGTACTTGCACAGCACTGGGGTGAGTACAGTATAAAAAATTAGTTTTACTACAGTAAGTAATCATGTACCCAAGAAACACATGAAGCATAGCTTCCGATACACCCTTTGGATCCATGCTCCTGCTGTTTTTTCTAAAGACTGGTCCCATGGCTTCTCTTTAATTCCATTTAATAGGTTGTACACTGGAATTTAGAAGTACCTAGAAATCTTTAAAAAACAATCCACAGCTGTATATCCTGTCATTTTGCCTTTTTTACTCAATAGTTCTCAATGACTGTGCTTTGTAAGCAAAGTTTGTAATGAATACTGTGGATTTTTCCAAAACTTTCAGTTTCAGTGCAATTTCTCTTATCTGCAGCAGATAAGCAACGTGAATTGAATCAAATTGTTACTAGTGGATAAGTGTACGTTCTACCAAGTTTAAGTGATTGCACATCCATCAGCTAGCTTTTACATTAATCTCTTAATGTGTTTATTCTCATAAGAGAAAACAAATCCAAGTATACACTCACCTGAACATTTTTACGCATCCTGAGTATTCAGTATTTCCTACCAGCACTTCCTACTGCAACACAATTCCAGAACAGCTACATAGGTATTTAGAAAATCTTTTGTAGTTTTTAATGAATTTTACTGCTTTGTTTACTGAATTGTGACCTCGCTAATAAAAGACAATTACTTCACTTTCATCTGTTTATGACTGTTGTGTGTACTAATTTAGACAGCTGCTTTAAAAAAGCTGTTCCAGATTACAGTGGTAATTACTGTGCTCCTAGTAACTGTGGCATCAGTTTCTCAAGCTACATTCAAACAAATACAAATTTGAATGCATATATTTTGTCCAGCACAGGTGTTTTTTTTCAGATATTAGTAAAATGACTCAGCTGTACAGTCATTATAAAAGAATAAACTTATTAATGTACACTTTTCCCACACTTTTTTTTCAGGTGAAGAGATCATCAAAATGAACATACAACGGCAGACCTGAATGTGTGAAGCCTTGTCTTGGGTTACTCTACCTGTGATATTATTATCAGATTAATAAAATACCTCTGCATGCTAGATACCACTGCTACTTGAAAACTGAACCAGCAAACACTTGGTTATTCTACATCTGGAAAGTCATGTTGAAAAAGGAATAAACCACCACCAGCATAAAGTTTTCTTCTGCATAGATTTGACAAGAGGTGTTCAGTCCTTTTACTGGGGCACGCCACACGGCCAAGACAAAACCAGACAGGAACCACATCTGCTGTAGCCTCCTTTGTCATACAACATGCCAGTCACATGCTCAACATGCAGCCACATCAAGCAAAATCTATGTGTATATACACATCATCCCCCAGTGACACGCAGTCCAGTGTGGTCTCCATTTCACTAATATGTTAAGTACCTAAAGGGTTATTATCACCCCTTACACGTGTGCCCCTTAGAGTGTGTCCAAAAAGGGGAAGCAACAGCCAGGTAGTAGATCACGGGAATTATAGCGGCTGCCTTTATTGAAGCATAGATTTCTCATCCTGAACTAGCTTAACATATCAGTCTAACAAAACCCCACAATCATACTTCTAATTCCATAGATAGCATTTCATGCACAACATATACTTCAACATTTATACATACTTGAGTAATGTAATAATCTTGAGTTCTGCATGACAATATAAGATGTGAGGCTTATTTTCAAGGATGCAGCTACTCTGAAATACTACTTTCATTGCATTTCAAATCTTCTTGTACAACTCATCTCTAGTTTAACCATACCTAGAACTGAACTCCTTGCCTCCCTCCCAAATCATCTTTCTTTTACCTGTTGCGCTGTCATTATCATGACAGTATAATTTTTAATTTTCTCTTCCTTCACGTAAATTTAGTCTATATTTATGGCTTGTATAAGAGCAAGGTTAATTTGCTATCTGCAAAACTCTTTCCATTGTCTTGATTATGTTCTCTTTATTGTTGGTTTCCTTGATCCCTACATATCACACCATAATGGAGCAAAGTCCATCTGACTTAAAAAATTAGACACTCAATGAATGTTTTGTTCAAAGTCTTACTCCCACCTTCTACCATATACAACTCGATCTTCTTCTCTTGTTTTAAGAATCTATTTTATTTGTTTCCTTTTATTTTCCTCTTTTTGACTAAGTTACTCTTATTTGCTCCAACTTGGCATCAGCATAATGGTCTATTTTTCTGCTTCTTACAAAGGTGCCCCCAGGTCTTCTTTCATGTCAGCCCATATGCTTGAAATACTTGAGCTGATCAGAAAACTATTATCTTTTCATTCAGATGTGTGACTGAAACATAGAACTGGAAGCCAGTAGCAGTCTCTACACCCAATTTGAGCAGAATGCTTGCTGCTACTCTTTCCTTTGCTCAATTTTATCTCATTGTCACAGTAATTTATTTTCTTTATTAGTTTGGTTACACTTGGACATTTAACTTCAGTAACTGTTTTGAGGACATGGTTTAGTGGGCATGGTGGTGGTGGGTTGACGGTTCAACTTGATGATCTTAGAGGTCTTTTCCAAACTTAATGATTCAACAAAGTTCAACAAGGCCAATGAGGTTCAACAAGGCCAAGTGCCGGGTCCTGCCCTTGGGTCACAACAACCCCATGCAGCGCTACGGGCTTGGGGAAGAGTGGCTGGAAAGCTGCCCAGCAGAGAAAGACCTGGGGGTGCTGGTCGACAGCCGGCTGAATATGAGCCAGCAGTGTGCCCAGGTGGCCAAGAAGGCCAACGGCATCCTGGGCTGTATCAGAAATAGTGTGGCCAGCAGGAGCAGGGAGGTGGTTGTTGCCCTGTACTGGGCACTGGTGAGGCCGCACCTGGAGTCCTGTGTTCAGTTTTGGGCCCCTCACTACAGGAAAGACATGGAGGTGCTGGAGCGTGTCCAGAGAAGGGCAACCAAGCTGGTGAGGGGCCTGGAGCACAAGTCTTGTGAGGAGCGGCTGAGGGAGCTGGGGCTGTTTAGTCTGGAGAAGAGGAGGCTGAGGGGAAACCAAATCACTCTCTACAACTGCCTGAAGGGGGGTTGTACTGAGGTGGGGGTCGGTCTCTTCTCTCAAGTAACAAGTGATAGGACGAGAGGAAATGGCCTCAAGTTGTGGCAGGGGAGGTTTAGATTGGATATTAGGAAAAATTCCTTCACCGAAAGGGTTATCAGGCATTGGACCAGGCTGCCCAGGGAAGTGGTGGAGTCACCATCCCTGGAAGTGTTCAAAAAACACATAGATGTGGCAGTTCAGGAAATGGTTTAGTGGCCATGGTGGTGTTGGGTTGACAGTTGGATTTGATGATCTTAGAGGTCTTTTCCAACCTAAATTCTACGATTCTATGATGCTAATATATAAAGGGGCCTTATAAGAAAGATGGAGAGAGACTTTTTACCAAGGCCTGTTGTATCAGGAGAAGGGGTAACGGTTTTCATCTAAAAGAGGGTAGATTTAGATTGGATATAAAGCAGAATTTTTTTATAATGAACATGGTGAGATAGATTGCCCAGAGAAGCTGTGGATGCCCCATTCCTGGAAATGTTGAAAGGCAGGTTGGATGGGGCTTTGAGCAACCTAATCCAGTGGAAAATGTCCCTCCCCATGACAGGGGGGGTTGGAACTAGATGATCTTTGAAGGTCCTTTCCAACCCAAATCATTCTACGATTCTATGAAATAGTTATTCTGTAGAAAATAGAATAAATAAAACACACCCCCAAGGATTCCCTCCAAAATAAGCACGTTCTTTGATTTGGTTGAATTCCTTTCAAAAGAGTAAAGTCAACTCCTGTGTGGGGTGTGTTTCTTGTTGGGAGCTCTATTGTACTTAATACAACAAACTCCTGACCCTCTTTTAATCCTTTAGGGACTACTTCAGTACACTTGACTCTAAGCTGC